TACGCTGCTGCCGTGCTCCGCTTTGGTTGGGCTCTGTCCTTCCCTTGAGGTCGGCACCAGCACCCACAGCTTTCACGAGAGGCTTGAGCTCCTCTCAGTTTACCACTGGGACGTGAGATACTCTGATGTGGGATAACAACGCAGAATGTAAATGATTTGGCTGAAAAAAATCTCAGAATCCAGAGAACTTTATTGTGTTAAATAGAGGCAAAGGTGATACAGACAACCCAGAAATAGCTCAGTAGCGATGTTTTTTTGCAGTGCCGCATTATAAATAAAGCACATCAAGAAACCTTGCTGAGCCTTTTCATCTTTTAGATTGTGTGTTGCCAGAGATGGACACAGCTTCACATTTGAATTCTCTGTATTACACAGATCTGAGTATTTCAAATCAATCTAGAAGAGATTTTTGTTAAATCTTTAAGCTGCTGTTACTACTGTTGTATTAATCTTCAAAATCAGTCATTCCATTGCATTACTCTCTGCTTTTGTTTGTCCACACCACCACAATGCCAGCCACTTCTTCCCTGGGAAGTCCCTTTTCAAAGATCTTGTTTAAAAGCAAAAACTAAGGAAAAAAAACAAAAACAAAAACAAACAAACCCACAACAAAACCCATTCCTGGTATTGCACATCTTACACAAGTTTGTGTGTGTGTGTGTGTGTGTGTGTATATATATATATATTTATTTTTACATATGCTACAATTAAAAAAAAAAAGGTCTATGGCACTTTACAGAATACAAGTTTACGAAGTTGAATAAACCACAGATGTTTGACAAATTCTTCAATACCACAAAAACAAGTTAAACTGAACTAATTGGCACACAGGTTTTAAAGAATCCACAGCAAATTCTTCTAGATCCTATGCAGTGCATGTACATTAAGAAGCAGTTACAATCCCCAGCCCCCACATGAAATTAATTAAATGAGCTTTAAGCTGATTTCTCTGTCTTCCCCCCCCCACCGCCGATGTCTTTGGAAGCTACTGCTGAGGTGAACTTCAGGAACAGTTTTAAACAGCTATCAGATTTAATGAGTGTACCCTACACCTGAAAACCTCATCCAGAAAAAAAAAAAAAAAATCTGCAATATACACCATCCTATCACTTGCTAGGAAAACAGAACCCTGAGAAAAGAAATTCTGATTATTTATTTCTGTATTTCTTCCCAGCCTGTCTTCTGTCTGTGCTATGTGATGAACATGGATATTCTTGCAAGTTAGTTGGTTGTGTTGTTGCAGGGCAAGTCGATAGCGTATTGGCAGCAAGCAGAAAAGCTGGTTCTTCTTGGTTACAAATGCAAAGAAAAGCAAAACATGCCACTGAACATACCTCCCTTGTACTTAAAAAACCCACACTATTAAAATTTTAAGCATTCTGTAGCTGACAGCAGAGGTCAGCCAGACATGTAGATGATGGTTGGGCACTCTTCTAAGCCAAAGCAGTGTACGCTCTTGATATACATTTTGGAAGAACTGACCTTACTCTGACTAATCAACTGCTCAAGCCAAAGCAGCGTTTGTCACCCTAATGTGGTGTCAAGATATGTTGGCAGTGGCGATGTGGACACTGGAGTGCTACCCACCTAAGAAAAGCAAAAGCTTTTTACTTTTTATTTTTTACTAGAAAAGTAAATCTAGATCATAATTAATTTTTAGCTGATTTATTGGCTACTCTTCCTAGCCCCGCCGCTTTTCCAAGTGCAGAGCCCACAAAGGCACAGCGGTGGTGGCCGGGGCTCCCTGGCGCAGACCCCAGCAGTGGGCTCTGGAGGAACGTCAGAAGGACAGGGTGAGTCACCCTGCAGCTGTGCTGAGGTACAAGCCGCATGCATGCCCTTCGGATGGTATGGTTGTGTGCGCGGGGAAAAAGAAAAAAAATCATGAGGAGAAAGACACAGGTGTGGACAGGACGTGCCGGCTGTGATTTGTGTCCACAGAGACCATTTTTTGCTAGTAATTTTGATTTGTTAAAACCTTGCTTGGTTGGCAGAAATGGTTCCAGACCATAACTTTTGTGTGTTTTTTAAATTAAATATTTAAAAGAAAAGTGAATTACCCGTTTTAAACTAGAATGTGGTGGATGTGGGTTGCAGGAGCAGGTAAGCGCCAGAAGAGGATAGGTTGAAACAATCCCTTTTGAATACCGGCAGAACGTTGACCTTGTTTGTGGCACAGCAGCGGAGAGGTCACCTGTGTGTCCGTCCGGCGCGTGGCTTGAAGGCGTGCCGAGCGCGGCTACGCGCAGGCCAGGAGCTGGCCCTGGTTTGCTCCACAGGTCAGCGGGGCCGAGGAGGTGTCCTTGCGGCACAGCAGGCCTGGAGGGGGGCTCCAGCGCCGCGCCGGCAGTGCTCATCCCTGCGCGGGGCTGCCCCTGGGCTTGTGGGCGTGACTGCTGAGCGGCTCTTGTACTGCGAATGACTCCAGTAATGTACTGAAATTAGCTATCTACCTGTACAGTAACAACGATTTTTAAATTCCTACACATAACTAATGGCACACTTTAAAGGACTGACCAGGCATAAACAAGAATCTCTGCTCCATATTATGCAGCGAAGTGATGGAGAGCAACGCCGTTATTGGATGATGTTGAACTACCAAGAAGAGTCTGAAAGTCAATTAGTATTTCATTAGAACCACTTTCAGATGAATTATCCCCAATGCTCCTATGGCACAGTTCCATCATTCCTTTGTTTTTTTAAAATACCCTTTAAATTTGTTTTCAGCAGTAGTTCTAGTACGTGATGCAACACCACAAGTAATACATCAAACTGCCTTTGAGAAAGGAACATCACTTGTGGTGAGGTCTGTCTTCTTTTCTGCTGATTTAGTTGGAAAAGGGTCTGTACTACATGTGGTTTTTTAAAAAAAAAAAAAAAAAAGAAAAATATCTTCCCAGCCATGTAGAATTTGGCAAGTCTTTCTTAAGGACTCATGTGGCCCTGGGTCATGAGACAGACTGATCTGTAGACGAGGAATGAGGTTTCACTGGCAAGAGAAAGAATTAATACTGTTGAAGTCCAACGTGTGATCTGCATTTGGAGGAGAGGCGGCAGCCAAGGCGAGGCTGTTGGCATTCACAAGATAATGCCCAGCTCTGCTGTGGGGAACTGTCACCTGCTTGGGGTTTCAGGAGTTTTAATAAAGACTGTGGAAGTATTTATAACAATGGTTACTTCTCACAATTTTATCAGAATCAGGTGAAAGCCAGTGTAACAACAGCATCTCTGTCTAGTCAATGGAAACTAAATCATTTACCTGCTAAGTAACAAGTGGTACAACCTTGCACTGTAAGTGTCAAGACAAAGAAACCTGGCAGGGACTCAACTTCTTAAACGCGTAAATATTGGTCTAAACTGCGTCACATCAGCTTTGCTCTCTCTGACATGCACTTAATATCCAAGAAGGCACTGTACTTTAAAGAAGTTCAGTATCAAAAAGCACCTCAATGAATAGTATGGTACCAAACCAGGTGGTGGTGAAATATTCACAGGTGAAGGGAGCCCTTGGAAACAAAGCCTAATTAAAACAGGCTTCTCTCTTGTATTAGAAAAGAAAACAACAAATGTGCTGGCTTGTATTTTTTGAAAGAAAGATTCTTCAAAGTGACTAATGTGGGTAAGGCAATCTGATAATCAGAATTTGTCAGTTATGACAACATTTCTGCTATACACATGATTCCTCACCTCCCAGTCAGATTAATGTATTCCACTGTGTCCTCATCATAGAATGAAACTAAAAAAAAATCCCCAATTGTTTACATTCTGCTTTCTTGGGATCCATTCTCTGATCCTCATTACCCAGCAAGGGAGAAAGACCACTTCAGTAGTTCGGGGCTGAAATGCATGGGGCTCAATCACACAAATGGTAGAAACAGGTAAGCGGATCTACTTGTCCAGTCAATGGAAAGCAGATGAAGATCCAGGCGCTGGTATTTTTCCCCACTGGAGTTAAAGGAGGCAGATAAGGTTTTTCCCTTCTTCTATTTCTTCTTGCACTTTGTCACTGGATGTGGCTATTTCAGCTTGCGCCGAGAAGACCGCACAGATGAATGTCAGAATAGTGCCACCAATAGCTGTGTAGAAAGCCCAGCCCAAGGAGCAGTCTCCTAGTTTGTAAGCAGAAGCATATGGTCCACAATAGCTTATTGCTTTCTGGCATCCCCAACCTGCAGGGTAAAGTATCAAGCCTAAGATAAGGAAGAGGCCTGGAAATAAAAACAGAAAGACGGAGGTTTAACAAATGATCAGTGTAACACCAAACGCAATGCATGTAGTAATGGTTATCGGGGTCACTACTCACTCCTAAGCACCAGGATTAGGAGAAGACTCTTCTTCATCCACCCAGCCTTCCTTTACTGATTGTTGCCTAGTACATCCTGTGCAGTGTTTAAACTCAGAGCTATCCTGTGGTTTTTCTTGTGAAAGGCTTATTTCGTATGATAATGGCCTACTTCCTAATTTTAAGCTCTGTATTCCTTCTACATCCTTTGTTTGCACACATTACTGCTAGGTATACAGAGCTCGCAAAACATTCGAGCATCTATACCTACTGTTTACACTTGCACTTTTCAAATGCCTCAGGATGTTTGCATCCACTTTTGAGTTTGTGTTTAGCTAGCCCTCATTCAGCTTTGTTTAGTCACTCACCATAAACATTTTTGCCTTTTTTCCCCTCTGGATTTTTCCTACACTTGATTTTCATGCTGGGGGACAAAAAAAAAAAAAAAAAATCTTTCTTGTTTGACCACACTAGGACATAGCAGGAAAATAATATGGCCAGTTCAGTAAGCTGCTTTTGTAACAAAGGAATTCTGGAGTCAGCCCCAAACAAACGGATCTAAGTACCCATGGCCAGTGCACAGGTAACACTGAGGTCCTCAAAACAGGCTGTTGCAGAAGGAAGGGATGCAGGAGCAAAAGCCTCAACTCCCGATCTTGCTACATTGCCCGAACACCCTGCTGTGCCTCAGGCTGGAAGTAAAAAGCTCAGATGAGGTGTTTTGCCCATCCGATCGTCTCTTGTATTCACAGTTTTCTCCCCTATGAGTATCTAAGCAGTGCAAGGGTTTCATTAAGGAAATTAGAAGTCACATTAGAGTCCCTGCACACTTGGTGTGTACTTGCACGAAGATGAGAGAGATTTAATCAAAATGCCTAATGTGCTGGTGGCTACAGTGCTCTTTTATGGGTCCTGCTAAAAAAATCACTGTGAGTTAAAAACAGATCTCCTTCCTACAAGGTTAAGTAGGAAGGAGCTAAACATCAGGAAAGCTCATAGGTATAAAAACCTGCTTTCTGTTTTCTTTGATATTTTACTCAGAAGAACAGGAAGAATTATCAAAAATAATAGTTTTTGCTTAAACACAAACAGTTTATCCAGAAAATGAATACAGCCTTCCAGATCCCATAAATGTTACTGATTTATTTGCCCTGCACTGTAAAGCCCTTTATTCAACCTGGCACCTTGATAAAAATAGCTGGTAAAGGTGCTGTCACCTAGAAGTGCACAGAAAGTTGTGCTTCTTATGTATGGTGCTGGTTCACCCATTAGATTTCATCTAATCCCAAAATTTCTACCAACTACTGAAACAGAAAACAGTCCTCTGTTCTTCCCTATACTAAGAGATTACCAAGAACAGCTGTAAACACTTGTTCATGTCTTCTTCAATTCAGTTAGACTAGCCTATTCTGCAGTACATCAGGTTTCCTTAATTGTTTGTTTAAAGAAATTCAGGGAGATGCAAGAAAATTTCCTCCCTGAGGAATAAAAGCTGGGTCCTAGCTAGTAAGCAGTTAATACACACAAAATGCAAAAACGGTCATCCAACATGTCTAAAATTTATGTGTATGAATGCCAGACATTTCACAAAAGAAAATCCTTCCTCCAGCGTTTTTCTAATGATGACACAACACCATGGGCATGAATGAACTAAATGTCATTATTCTTTGGGGCGGCAAAATCCATTAGCGAGTGATATCCGTTCTCTGTGAAGGGATTTCATCACTGCTTACATTTAAGAACGAATGACAAATTTTACGCAATGTTTCCTGGCTGATTGGCCAAACTACATTAAGTATAAAGTACCGCTTTGTCTTGGACAGACCTGGATAAGCTGTGCTTTCATCCTGCTGAGCCCTGCAGCCGTTTCAGACTAAACACCAGCAGTGCCTTCTCCTCTATTCATCACTAGTTTCCTGTTCTGCATAACCAGCATGACCACGCCATGTATTTTTCTGACTGTACATCGGTATGGGGCAGTTTGCCATTTTCTCTAATGATCACAAGCCCTTTGGTAGTTAAAACTCACCACCACTAAATTAAGAAGCCGGATCTGAAATGCCAATGTAGCTGCTGCCAACAAGGAAATTTTAAAGTTTACCGCTCTATCACTTACTTACAAACCTAGAGAGCCTGTGTTTAACTGCAAACCTGGCTTATGGCTGAGTGACAAGCAGGAATATGAAGTTACATCCATCTCTTTTCACCAAAACCAGAGCACTGAACAACTCCCGAAAGCTGCTGGTCCATGGTATGTATGCCCCAAGCTGAAAAGCCATTACCCAAAACTCAGGCCCCTGAAAGGCTGCAGCACTGCTGCCACGTGTAGTCATCAGGACTTTACTAAATTAAAACTTTTTTTTTTTTTAAGAGTACAGAAAATTCCTGGAGAAATATTGAATACAGCCTATAGCCCATAATCCAAAACCACAGCTGTTTTCTCACAGATGAAAACAAAATATGGAGAAAAGTCTTAACTATGGACTTGAATCCAGTCAGTCTCACCTGACTTTTCCTTCAGATTGCTAACTTTTTGAATCCTGTACTGGTCTAGCATAATAAAAGAAAAAAAAAAAAAAAGTAATGTTTTCACTACCAAACATACCTTCTACTACTCCATTTCAGTGCAGACAGAAAGCTTCTCTGGGCATGCACCTCTTCTCCCTATCACTAATATTTATGATCATTTCTCATTTCATTAATACCTGGTTCCTACTTGCTAGGAAAAGTGAATAAAGATGGTTCAATTAAGCCAATTCAACATACCCACAACAGAAACAGCTCTCCTTGGATTTCATGCTAACAGCAAGTGGAGAGGCACAAACTCCTCACCATGGATTCAGCTCAAAGCTCCAATACCCAGAGCAATGGCTGAGCTGTGCAGAGTGCAGAGATCCTTTCCTGACTCCCTACCTGCCCAAAAAAGGGGCGCTCAGGTATAATGATCAAAAGGAGCTTCGCATCCTGCTTCCCAGTAACTACAAAAGAGACCATCGCAGACTACAGAGCTTATCTCATTGACTCCTGCAGCTCAAACAAAACAGACAGAAGACACTTTACCACCCACCAGCAGAGCAAACCATAGGCTAAAGCAGAAGCCAGCAATCCAAAACACTTAACTTGTAACCAGAGCAGCACATTGCAGAGACCCGCTGAAAAAAACCCTTCCTCTCTGCTCCTGGGGACATGGATGCAGAGAGAAGGGAAGGAAAAATGCCCATGTGGGAAGAACAAGCATAGCAGGGGTAGCAAGGGCAGGAGAAGTTGTGATGCGGCTTGGAAAGTCACGGTCTGCTTTTAAACAGGCAAAATGGTTAAATGCAATACGAATAGCTCGGTAGTCTCTGTGCTGTTCCACCTTTGACCTAAGGAGCACTGCACAACCATTTTATGTAACACAAAAAAGCCAGAGGGCTGTTTCTACAGCTAACGGCGCAGCCTTGATCTACATCTAACACATGTGCAAGCAGCTGCAGTCCAGCAAAAGCCACTTACAGGCCAGTCTGTGGTGAGATGATCCACAAGGGGAAAAAACACGGTAAATTCTCAGCGCTGATTTCTCATTACCAGCGTCCACAGGGCAGAGCCTGGCCAGGTCCCTTACATCTCTCTGCCTCTGCTAGAAGGTTAAGCTTAACTGCATGTGCCCCTGCCTTTCTGTGGCTGCTGCTCAGTCACTCAGGCTCGCCTGCCTGCAGCTCTCTTGTTTTGGTTATTTATCTGCATTACCACAAAGCCTGGCAGCTCTGCTCACAGTTTCTGCCCCCAATAGCTAACAGTCTGCTTTTCAGACAAGATACACAGGATGGAGTGTGAGGCACAAGTGAGATAACCCTGAACAGCTTACTGGCAACAGCTTCATCAAATCCATGGCCTGACAGTGACCAAGTTTTTCTTTTATAGCCTCTGACACAAGACAGTCTTAGAGAAAAATGTCGAGGGAAGAGGAATGGGTTTTCAGTTGCTTGTGGACAGCACAAAGCAGCATGGGGGCATGTGGTTTTGTTTTGTGAAGAGTCCCCGGGGCAGGGGAAGGCGGAGGAGGGCCCTGGATGGGCCTGACAGAGCCGGGAGCAGAATGTCTTGCCAGTGAATGAAACAAGGCAGTGAGCATGGCCTGGAGCTTACATGGGGCTGGAAAGGGGAGCTAAGCGCCTTATCCCTGGCATTCGCTTACACTCACAGCACACAGGAACGCAAGACCAGCTCCTAATACAATCTACAGATTTGCATGTAAAAGTTGCTCTCTGGACTGATTAACTATTATAATTCTCAGATTTCTTGAATTGGATTCAGTTATTCTTACACTTGACTTGTTCAAATATTACTTCTGACTTTAATCTGTATTGTGCAGCTTTCTAAGCCATTTAATGCTGTGAATTAAGATTAAGGCACTTAAGTTTTTGTTAGCCATAGAAGTACAAAGCTCAGTTTTGTGTTGTATAATTTTATGTCAGCATAATCTGATAAAGCAACAATCATCTGCTGTCGACAGTTTGCCTTGAGATGTATCTGGCAGGAGGACAGTCAATATTAATGATAGAAATTTCTTTTTCGTAATAAATCAGCTTTTGCTCTTGTCCCAGTGTTTCTGAAGAGAGGCCAACCTTCAAGAGAAAGAACAGAGAACAAAAATCAAATGCTCTGTCTGAAGAAAAGTTTTCTGCAAGGAATCCTTTCAGTTCTTCATGCTGAGGTACAGTAAACAAGAGCTTTAATTCACAGCCAGTCTACCTGTGGAATTATTGCTGTTTGTTCCCACTGGGAATTCATTTTGAAAACATTACACTATTTTCCACTGTGTTCCTCTACAGGCTTGCAGAACCCAGGCTTGGTCTGTTCTAGATTTAACCCCCTTTCTAAACACAGCTCCACTGCAAGACTGCACAAGAAGTCTTGTTCCTATGCCTTAATTAGCTCTATCCC